AGAAAACACTCCTGCACAGAAATTCAGTGTCTCAGAAATGGAGCACTAGCGTTACTATCATAGGGATACCCTGTGGGCTTCTCTTGTTCCCATCTCCCTCCCTCCCTCCCTCCCTCCTCGGAGAAAACCACGCTCCTGAATTTTTTAACATTGCCTTGCTTTTCTCTACAATTTTATTCCTAAATAATATTTTATTTAGTTTTATATGCCTTTGGACTTCATTTAAATGCAGTTATACTTTATTATTGTTCTGCAACTTGTGTGGTTCACTCAGTGTCTTGTTTCTGAGTTTCATCTGTGTAGTGCATATAAAACTGTAGTTCCCTCATTTCTCTCCTGTGAAGCGTTCGTAGTGTAAGTGCACCGCGATGTACTTATGCATCGTCCCTGTTTATGGACTTTTGCGTGACTTATAGTTTGTTGCTACTATGAAAGCTCTTATCAGTGACCTCTGATGCTCATGTAGAATGTCTCAGGTATATACATAGTGAAATTACTGAATTCCACTTTAACAGATAATGTTAGATTATTTTCCAAATTATTTTTGTCTATTTACATTCTTGCTAGCAGTACATGAGTTTCCATCCTCCACATTGTCACCAGCATTCAGTAATGTCAGACTTTTAAACTTTTTGCTAATCCAGTGGGTGTGAAATGATTTAATTTGTGTTTCCCTGAACATCAACGAATTTGAGCATGTTTTCTTAGGTGTATTAACCATTTGTGATTTCTCCCCGCAAAAAATCCGTTTGGGTCTTTTGGCTCATATTTCTATCAGATTATTTCTGTTTTTAAATTGGTTTGTAGAAACTCTATATATTCTGAGGACGAATCTTTTGTTAGTTATATGTGTGGAAGATATCTTCTTCCAATTAGTGGTTTGGCTTTTTGTTTTCCATATAGTGTGTTTAATGAAGAGACATTCTTAATCTCACCCATCCCTTCTTTCATGGCTCGCCCTTTTTGTGTCTTGTTTAAAAAAAAAAAAAAAAAACTCTTCCTACACAGAAGTTCATATAAACTCCTAGATTGTCTTTTAAAATGCTTATAGTTTTGTCCCTGTGTATTGTATGGTGTCCAATATTTTCTATAAGGAATAACTATCAAGACAATTTATTAAAAGACTTTCTTTTCCCCACAGAGGTATAAATGCCAGCTCTGGCATAAATCATGTCATAAATGGAGTTTCCATATACATGTGGGTCTGTTTCCTGGGTCTTCCAGAGAACACTGGCATTTGTGCCAGCCAGATGCTGAGGGGCCCTACCAGGGAAATTCTTTAATATTTTAAATCATAAGGCATCTATGTCACATGACAAGTTAGACGTTGAGCTATTCCAGGTTAGTCTGAAGCACAATGATGGCGTCCGGAACGCAGGCACTTCTCATCTTTTCCTCTGCCAGAAGCAATTTGTCCAGGATGTTTCCTCACAGCTGTAGCCGCACCAAGCTCTGGGTATTACCACATCCAAAGTGAAGTAGAAAAAGACCTTTGTATTTTAAATTCTGACCTCAAGGTTGTTTTGGACCACCCAGGCAGTGTGCATTCAAGTTGCAAACTCACATACAGTCCCACTCTGGGTTATGAATCCTCAGGGGAGGGTTTTTTCTCTGTCCATTCAGTGCCTGGCAGACCCCTGTGTGGGGAACAAAGGTATTTATTTCCAGTTCACCTGGCTCTCGGGGTGTGTCCCTGTGGGGACACAGATTTATGCAGGTGTCTCACATTAAACTCCTCTCCATGGGTGGGCCCTGGACCTCATCCTCTGCCCCCTGCACCCCATGAGCCAGTGAAAATCAAAGTGGAATTCACTCGTGTGGCGAATATAGAGCTTCATGAAAGCTTGTTTTGTTTACATCTCTGGCTTCCCATTTTCACTTAGGTTTTTGGCTTCTTAGCATTCTTTACATTCTCCAGCTCACCACACATTTGGAAGATTTTTGTCTTTTCTGAAATTTTTCATTGTTTTTCAGAGGGAGGGTCTGTCAGTATGTCTCATCCTTCAGGCTATGAAAACAGAAGTTGACTAAATTCATTTTTAAAGTTGCATTCTGTTTTTATCAATTTTGCCTAAAGGTTTGCTGGAGACTGAACCATTGCAAGGAAGAGATGAAGATGCAGTAGCCAGTGCTGACTTCTCTAGCATGCTTTCTGAGGAGGAAAAGGAAGAGTTAAAGGCAGAATTAGTTCAGGTATGTTCAGTAGTCTTGCCTATCCCTGGATCTTGAGAGTTGCAATTAGTCTGATATAAGACCCATACTGCAATTATGTTGTCTTTCATTTAATCAAATTTATGAATGATACACTGCAAGATTATTCATTTTTTCCAAGGTATTTTTCTAATGCTAATTGTCCTTTACCTGTTGGTTATGGTGGTAAAATGAATGTCTGTGCTGCTTAAGCAACAATAATTACTTTTAAATATACACTTCTTATTCTTTTTAGTATCAGAATACTATGGGAATAATAAATCACTTACAAACCTGGTGGAATTCATTCAAGACCATGGTACAGATGCAAGCTCCTTTTTAAGAGCAGTTCTAGTTTTACATCAGTCACTTAGCTCAACAAATAGTTTCAAATGATTTTTTTTTTAAATAAAAAGCCAATTATAGAAGCAACTGGATTTATTAAGTTGTGTACTCTTTTGCAGAAGAATAAACTCTGGGGGTAGAGAGGAAAGCTATGATTGATTAATTGAGACTTAATTAGATGTTGTGTAGTTGCTGTGGGGATCTGGGCCGAGAGAGGAGGATGCCGTGCTCATCACGAATACAACTCTTTGTTCAAGCCTTTTGTTTGCACCCACCAAGCCTTAGACACTTCGCTGAGGAGCCTAAGCACCCCTCCCCATTCTATGTCTGGCGCATGGGGCAGAAGCACTTTGGCTTCCTGCACTGGCCTTTGCACAGGCTGAGCACACAGCTCTGAGCTCCACCTTACCCTCTCCCCGCCTTTGTCACCGCTGGACTCTTCGAATTCTAACATTCTGATAGTGTGTGTCCATGACAGCTCCTAATAATATTAAAGACTTTTCAGGTACTTTTCCAAGACACACCCTAAAATGATTTCATTTTAAAATAAAAGAGCATTTTGTTCCTCTGGTACAAACAGAAATGATTTCAGTAAGCACAGTGCCTCAGATCAAATAGCCTGGGTCTGTCTGTGGCCACCGATTGGCCACACATACCAGAGTTCGCAGACCAAAGTCAGCCTTAACAGATAATGGACTAACTCCACATTTTCTCATGGCCTGAAATTCTGGTTCATGACCTATTTATATGAACTACAGTATCCAAAAGTTGTATTCTGGTGTAAGCTAACTGTCTAAGCTAAAACTTTACTCCTTCACATCAATGGTGCTAGTTTAAATTCAGGTACAACCCCTGTAACAGACCGACTACTTTAAAATGTCTTGACTTTTCTGGGTTCTGGGGTTGCTGGGATGTACATACATACATACATACATCAATGTATGTTTGATTTTTCTGCATCCTATATTTCCTAAATGTTCAACAATGAGCATTTTTTACATTTATAATCAAGAAAAAAGTAAGCATTGGTTTTCAATGGATGCCTCATGAATAGAAAAAACTAGAAGTGCTTTCAGAAATTCCTGTCTCATTTGGCCACAGTAATAAGCTTCCAGCACACGTCATTCCTAAGACTCTTTGAATTTGAGCCTGACTTCTGGAAATAACACCAGACTCTTTGTTACTGTGTTCAAGTTACAGGGATTCATGTTTTCATCCTTCAGAATGCCTCCTGGCTCTTTTATCTGGGTTCTTCAGAGAGGAAGCATTACCGCAACGTTGCATCACGCTACGTTGCCAAAGATAGCGTCGTGGCTTCCAGTGGGACATGGGCACAGCCATCTGCCCCAGGCCCAGTGAAAAGCAGAGGAAGTGTATCTTTGCAGTTTTTCCTCTTCACATTTCCCTTTCTCCTCCTCTACCTCTGGCCACCTCTGCTTCATGCTCATTCTTTTCTCAAATCTGCTTTTCCTACCCTTTCACAAGTATGTGTGTGTGTGTGTGTGTGTGCGCGCACAGCAAACCAGGTTCTTTCACATCGCAGATGCATTAGATTTTACCTCCAATGCCAGGATTTAATTATAATAAGGACACACAGCCTTCTCAGCAGTCTCACCAGTCGTCTTATGAAAAACCGAGACATCCTTTGAGAGTCAACTCCTCTGTCGCACCTCTCCACAGACATCCTTCCTGGGCCCCTGGTAGCAAGCGACTTCTCTCCGTGTCTGAGGCAAGATCCTAGTGGGTCTGTTAGGCCCTTGGGTACCAGCATACCTCAGAGGCCAACCTACTAGATGACTGCCTTGGAGTCAGGCCCTCAATTGTGGCTGTGATCTAAAGCAAGCCCTTTGTGCACAAGGACTTCTGATCTCTGACTGCTTTGCTGAAAAGGGGTCCGGGTGTGCCAGGTGTCCAGCCGCCTGTGTGGGTCCCTCCTCTCCTGGTTTCCTCATCTCCTCCTACTGTCTTCTGGCTGTGCTGGGTACCCCACCCCCACCTCTCCTTCTCTTCCCTTCCCTCTGCCTCATCCCATGCTGTTCTGTTGAAAATATTCCCATGAGGATGCCCTTAGACTTGGGCATCCACTCACACAGCCACCACATTTTTCTGTGCTTACCGAGTGCTGGCAGTAGGAAGACATCTCCTTTTGTGGGGGAGACATAAAATAAGCCAATAGCGTCCAAAAGGTTTACATCTTGGACAAATTCAGCATTTTAAAAGGGAAATCTCTTTTAACACAATTCAATCTTTAATTTATTATGTGGTCATGCAATATGTTTGCTCTTAAAAGTTCTTCCAGTGTGAGGCCAATATCACCTCTGATCTGGTGCAGTGGTTTGTGCATAGAGGGTGTGCCATTAATATTTATAATTAGCTTGAATTGTTTTTCAGCTTAAACAAGTATGTATATTTGTAACTACCAAAAGTAGAATATGCTTTTTTTAATAAACATTATCACTATATAAAGAAGTACTATTTTGTTTCAGTTATTTATTCTCATTGGTCTTATTATCAGCTGCTCCTGAAATCTCTTCTGAGGTCTTTACACACCCATTCTGGCTTTTCTCCTCTTGCTCTCTCTCTAAATAAACTTGCTCAATAATTCTGTGCCGCTAGCACCCCACTCCCACTTTAATTTCACCAAGCTGCATTTTATGCTTAGCATTCCATAATGTGTCTTGGCTTTTGAAAAGGATGAAGTGTTGGCATTAGTCCTGTAAATTTGTGATTATGTAACAATCAAATACTGCCAATGTCCCCTAGATAAAATGACTCAAGAAAAATAGGCATCAAGAGGAATAGGAAAAATACCAGACAGCATTATCAAGTAGGCAAAGCCTGTTTTCATGCTTCCTTGATCTCTCTTTTGGCCCTTTCCTCTTCCTTTGGTGTGTGGTTCCCCAGAAAGAACACACAGTGCCTTCAAGCTATCTGTTCTTGGACTTGCAAAGAAGTGCCTTGGGCTCTGGGCCTCTCTCTTTCAGCTTCTTCCTCAAGACCTTCCTTCTTTCTGGACTGAGCTAGTGCACAGCTCATGTGTTCATAACCATAATGTCTTATTGTTATGCCCCTCCCAGATAGTATCTGCATTTTCGTCTTGGTTCTTGCAGCCAAAGGCAGGGGTAGCCAGAAGAAGAGGCAGGCCCTGAAGCAATAAGCACAAAAGACCAACATCTGAACATCACACTGATGATTCATAGTTTATGAAAGTATTTTTTCTTCTGGGTTTTCAGTTTGAAATTTTGTGTAGTCTAGCAGATAAAATAGAAAACTAAATTTTCAGGCTTATAATAGAAATTTCGTATTGATGCTAAATCGTTAGCTAATTCAGATTAGTTAATTCACATTTTTTTTGTTTTATATTGAGGTAAATTTATGTAACATAAAATTACCCATTTTAAAGTGAACAATTCAGTGGCATTTAGCACACTCAGTGTTGTGTAACCACCGCCTGTATCTAGTTCCAGCATATTTCATCACCCTGAAAGGAAACCTCGTACTCATTAAGCAATTGCTTCCCGTTTCTCCCTCCGCCAGCCTCTGGCAACCACCAGTTTGGATTCTATCTTTATGGATTTACCTATTCTGGATATTTCATATAAATGGAATCATACAATATGTGACCTCTTGTGTCTGGCTTCTTTTGCTTAGCTGATGTTTTTGAGGTTTATGTATGTTGCAGCAGTTGTCAGTACTTCATTCCTTTTTATGGCTGAATAGTATTCCATTTTATACTACAATCCGTCTATCCATTCATCTCTTCATGGACGTGTGGGCTGTTTTCACTTTTTGGCTACTGTGAATAGTGCTGCCATGAACATGTGCGTACATGTATTTGAGATCCTGTTTCCAATTCTTTGGGGTGTATACCTAAGAGTGGGTTGCTGCACGATATGGTAATTTTGTATTTAACTTTTTGAGAAATCATCAAGGCTGTTTTCCACAGTGGCTGAACCATTTACATTCCCATCAGCAATGTACAAAAGTTTCAATTCTTTTACATCTTTGCCAACACTTGTTATTTTCCTATTAATTCATATTTAAATAATTAAGTTTACACACCTTATCTTGGGCATAAATACATCTTATCTTGAGCATAAATATTTAACCTCCAAGTAGATCTTCTGGGGAGTCAAAAAACCAAATAACTAGACTATTAGTTTGTAATGAAGAAATAATTAACTTAAAATTAAAAGGGTCAACGCTGTGTGTGGAAAATTAACACCAACAACAAAAAGAAGGAAGGAATTAAATTAAAAGGGAAAGGATATATTAAATACCTTAATTAATTAATGTGATTTACCTGCACTCCATCTCATTCCAAATTTGATATGGCTTACAAGAATACTTACAATATATAGTTTACATACTACTTGTGTTAGAATATCTGGGGTGCTTGTTAAATAATGTCTGGTCCCACCAAATTTAAGACATCAGACTCTCAGGGCATTGAAAAAGAAGCATACCCCTGGGAATCTGCATTTTAAATATACTCTCTGAGTGACTCTTATGTAAACTGAAGTTGAGAACCACTGGTTCTCATTAGTCAAAAAAATCTCATTAGTCAAATGAGGGATTGAATTTCACCATTTGTCAGCATGAAGAGTATTTGTGATTAGAGACCTTTTTGTTGTGTTGTTGCAGCAAGATTCTTGGCTCTGTAGAAAGAGAGGTGGTTGGCCATTTTCAATCTTGCAAGTTAATATAATTTACAACTGTCTGTTTTTCCAACTTCTGGGGTTTGCTTAATAGATTTGGGAGTGTATATTAGGTCTTCAATAAATACGCTGAAAGCTTTGAGAAATATGAATCCTTATATTTTATTGGAATGGTTAGAATTTTATTATAGAACCTGAGAATAGACCCTACTAAATAACCGAGTTCAAAGAAGTCTCTTCCCCACAAATGCCTTTTAAGACGTGCCTGTATTTTTGAATTATTAAATGTGAGACTTTATGTTTCTTTCTTTAGGATGATATTTGGTAAAATGATCCCTTAAATATTTCTATCACTTTTTTGGGATCAAGATTTTATTAAAAATATAATGAAAACTCTGAATCCTTTACTCACTCCTTCTCAGATAACTAATGAATAACCCACAGCCCCCCATGATTTTGAATACATTTCTGGGGTCCCATGGATATAAGGTTGAGAATATTAAGATGTTTAAGTCTCTTTTTCCTTTTGTACATCTGTGATTTATTTCTACAAGTTAAAATGTTTCCCATTATTTTTATTACACAGTGGAGACTACAGGAATACTGAATGTATCAAAAAAAAAAAAAAAAAACCAGACTCCCAGTAATTTCACTCACTCTAAGTGAAAGAAAGCAGAAAACGTCTTTCTAATAGAGAATAAAGACCAACATGAAGCCCAAGTATTTTCTGTGGTAAAAGAGCAAGAGATACAAGCATAAGAAATATTAGGCAGCAGATTGACAAAGATGAAAAAGTGGACTATGACATGATAGCAAAAGAATAGAGGAGTTTAATTTTAAAATAACAGTGTGTTCACGTCTAATAGAGAGGCTACCAGCATTATTCCCTTTGGTGGTCCCAGAGTCTACTCCTTTGCAGTAATCAATATTAACGTGTGCTTACTGAAGATATTTGCTCATCAAGAAAAGACAGGGTTCTATTTATTATACCATACTTACAGAATGTGTAATTCATTTTAGATTTTAGAAAGGTTTCCATGAACATACAAAAAATGTTCCATGAACATAAATGAACAATGTTACATTGCCAGGACATTTTGTGAATATTAAAAACCCCAAGATATTGTTCTCTCTTACTGTGGTATTTCAGATGCTTGTGATTCAGTATTTTTGCCTGTTTTGCTAAAGTCATTATTGGTGGGTATAAAGGTTCACGACACTATTCCTGTCTGTTCACCACTGGGGCAAAATCTTCCTTCGGCTAGTAAAAGATTATTTTTTTGCACAGGCAGATGTCTTTCTTGAGCTGCTTTCCTGGCAGCTATGTCTCTTGTGACTCAAAGAACACATTTGCAAGATGACTGACAGGGTTGGTGATATAGTTTGTGGTCAGAAGTAGAGTGATACTTTGAATGTGAATGAGACATAGCAGCTTTTTTTTTTTTTAAGAAATCGAGTAAAGTGGCAGACTTTTATTACCTTTGTGCATGTGGGAGACCAAGGGAGTTCAAATAATTCTTTTCTGGTTCAACAAAGAAAAGTCACAAGTATTTGAACTTTTCAGACAACAAAGATGTAAATTGAAGCATATTAAGAGGGCAATACATTACAGAGTACCACAACCAATTAAAATCAAAGACTTTGTGGTTTATTCAGATTTACTTTCACAGGATATAACAACACTTCCTAAAATTTGGGTATTTTACAGAACTCCTTTGTTAGAAATTACATTTGCAAGAGCAACGATATATTGCTGAAAAGATCTGCTTTTTTTTTTTTTTTTTTTTTTAGCACTGGGGAAAGAGGAAATATGTCTATACAAAGCCTTGCACATGAATTTTCATAGGAGCTTTATTTGCATTAGCCAAACCCAAATGTCCTTCGACAGATGAATAAACAATAAACTGTGGTCTATCCATACAATGGAATACTACTATGCAAAAATAAAAAGGAAGGAACCATTGATAATGCAACAACATGCATAAATCCCAAAGAACAATGCTGAGTGAACAAAGCCAGGCAGAAATGAGTACATACTGTATGATTCAGTTTATATAAAATTCTAGGAAGTTCAAACTAAACTCTAGTGAAAGAAAGAAGGTCAGTGGCTACCCAGTGAGGGAAGGGTGGGAGAGAGGAAAGAAGAAGGAAGGAGGGATTACAAAGAGCAACTAGGAGGTGATGAATATGCTCACTGTCTTGATTGTGGTGATAATTCCTCAGGTGAATACATATGCCAAAACTTACCAATTACATACTTTCATCGTATGTCAGTTGTATGTCAATAAAACTGTCGAAAACAAAAAGCAATATAAATCACTCCCTTACATACGTCCTCTACTCCCTTGTTCCTTCCTTCCTTAAGGCACTAGCTTGGGAAAACCACATGGTCTGCCAAATCCGTTCCTACACCAAGGCAGCTATGTCTGGTTGGCAAAAAATAAACAACACTGACTAGCAATGCTTGAAAAGAAGTTGTTTTATAAAATGTGGTGTACAGTACAAAGCCAATTTTTGTCCAAAAACTACATCTATGTACAATTTTAGGAAAACATTTGGAAGGTTAGAAACCAAAAAATAAGTGGTGGCTATTTCCTACTAGATTACAGGTGATTTTTGTTTTGTTGTTTATATTTTGCTGTACAATCTGAATTTTTTACAAGCAGCATTGATTACTTTTATAATCATTAAAACTAAAAAATTGATTTTTATTATTAGATTTTAGAGTTGACTGTCATCTGTATAGGTTGTGTTTGATACAGCTAAACATTGGACTTTGTAAATACAAGAATGTAGAGGCTGCCTTGGGGCACCCAGAGCTTTCAGAAATGGACTCTTCAGCTGGTCTGACATTTTTCCCCACCATTTCCCCTACCATCTCTAGCTAGAAGACGAAATTACAACATTACGACAAGTTTTGTCGGCGAAAGAAAGGCATCTGGTTGAGATAAAGCAAAAACTCGGCATGAACCTGATGAATGAATTAAAACAGAACTTCAGCAAAAGCTGGCATGACATGCAGACTTCCACTGCGTAAGTATGACATCATTAAAATTTTTAAAAACTTACTCAGCCTGGTGTCTCTTCATGCTTCTGTTCTGTTTGGGGTTTTTTTTTTTTTTTCCTACAAAGCTGATTTGATATTTGTAGCTAGGAAAAAATATTTTCTGGAGAAGCACAACAAAGAAATATGAATAGTCATTAAATATGTTGCACATGAAGCAGAATCGGTAATGTAACTTCAGATAAAACTTTGTTCACTAAAACTCTATTTTCACTCAGACTACTTTAATGGGGTTTTATGGTTTAAATGTTTTCTCTTATTATACATTTTAAACATTGGTTAAATATATTTTTCTTTACTTTTTTCCATAAAAATTATAAATGAGCAGGTGTTTTTTCCTTAGCATACTTGAGACTCACTACATATTTTGAGTGTCTTTCAAAAACGGTTGGCAGTTTTAGTACTGACTTACTAGCAATTGATTTTTTAAAAAAAACCTTATACCTCTCATCTTTTCATATGTGCTTTTCATCCTCACTACTCTAGGAAATAGTTAGAGCTGGGTTCAGACCCCACAGAAATGGTTTCAGCTTTGCTATTATTTTCTTCTTGTCTTGTGTTAGGCAAAGTACAGAATAACCTTGATTGTTCTACAATCACACTTTTACTGGATTATTTTTTAAGTTACATGAAATATTTAACCATAGTGTTACTTTTCTCACAATTTAAAATATTTTGCTTGCCGGGTGGTCTTGTACCAAAGGGAATAAGGTGCCCACATGTGTGATATGAATTTTATTTTAGTGTCTTGGGGGTTAGGGACTGATGAGGAAATCACAGAGGCTTCCTATCTTTAGCCCTAATTTCAGTCCAAAATTCCACTATCAAGAAATTTTCAACTTTGGACTGTGCATTTTTTTCCTTAGTATCTCCCATTGGAAGATAAAGATACTGCATTCTTAATACATAAGTGGGAGTAAGTTTTCCTCTTTGTGGGACTTTTCTCTTAGGCAAAGAGAGACCTGGTAGTAGGAAGAGGTACTCATGATCATCAGTAATTATTTCAGTGTTGCCAGCTGCCATCTTTGCCTGCTGATTCCTACGAACTAAGATGTAAGACTGTTTGCTCCTGTGTGAAGATGCTCTTTATGCGAGGAGTTGGATCTAAAAGGAGCCTGAAGTCTCCCCAGCCCGGTTCCTTAGTTTCCATGTGCCCCTAAACATGGCCCAGCAGCCCTACTGGCTTCTATGCTAGTGCTCGCCAAGGACTCATCCAGATAGGTTCAGGGCATAGCCCAGAGCAGGGCAGGAAGGAGCCAGGTAGCTCATCAGTTTATCTCCAGAGACTAACCAACCTTTCCAACCTGATGATGACAATTGTGGAAAAGAAAAATAAGAAACCACACATTGATGTGCAGCAATTTAAAAGATATATTGCAATACTGAATGAATAATCTCCTGAAAAGGATGGCTGGATTTTAGGCACTAAATTAAATGAGTTTTTCCATCAGTAGTTTTAGCCTCTGTCTTTCTACTCTGGTGGCCAATGCCGATGAATGGCCCTGTCAGTGTGAGGCTGAACAATCTCTAGTTCTTGGGGTCTGACCGCTTCTGTATTTAATCCAGGCCTGGGGGCTTCATGTCACACTGACCTGAACTTCCCTCTGGGTTGTAAGAACCAGGAGGACCTTTCTGCTCAGCCTCCCTAATCACACTGCAAGGATAAGCTAACCAGATGGAGGGCAGGGATTCTGTCAATCTGTTCCTGAAGGGAGTGGGAGACAGGAAGGTGGGAGTGCTGGGCAGGGTGTGTCATGTTTGCCCCGGGCTGATGGGGGCAGGCTAGGAGGTGGGGAGAGAGTCTTACTCCTCCTGAGATGTGGGATTAGAGCAGGTAAGTTCAAGAAAGGCGTCTAGGTGGGAGGAGGGGGGAAGAGGGAGGAGGGGAGGGGTATTTGTATACACAAGGAGGGCAATGCGCACTACCTGAAGGATGGACATATTTGAAACACGGACTTCGGTGGGGGGGAACCAAGGGCAACACACCTAACCTAATCATCTGTACCACG